TTTTTTTTTATCGTTCTTTCATGGAACATTTATTTTCAGGTGCCATAAATAAGAAAGTGCGTTATTTAGTTTCGACCCTACAGTAACATAAAATCTAGGCTGAGATACAAAACGGCGTATTTAAAGTACTCAACGGACTCAAAATCGATTTGATTAGCTCGGTTAGACACACTTTAACTTGAATCGAAACGTTGTCACGAAGTGTGGTAGGTCACCTAAAATGCCCGTTATTGGTACCACTTTGTGTCGGAGTACTAGAAGTTGAATCGTAGTTGTGCTATTGAAGTAAAGTATTACGGTAATTACGGGGCATAATATCATGAAATGGGCACCTCGTCACCATATATATATAGTGAAATATAGTTTACGGAATACGATTTATATATCTATATATGATGACGATGGAACTGAGCTAAAAGCAATAGTATTTGCGAAATGCCAAGGACGTATTAGGACAAACCCTTTCAGTCTACCTTTTATAGAAACAGTGCAGCAATCACAACGATTGTTTTCTAAATCATCATTGTTCACACTCAGCACCGTGATGCAGGTGAAGAATCGCAGAAAAAAGTAATCAAAATAGTTCACTCTAGTCTATACGCACCTTCGTACACAGATCAAATCTAGCCTAATTTCGCGTTCCCAAAGAAACATTTTCTTATACTGGATAAACTAGCATCACCTGGCTGTTGAGGCTTGTTCTTGACAAGTTGCTAGTAAAATCAATTTGCAAATAAGCGTCACAATTGATATTTAATGATTTTTTGTTAAATTGAACGAAGTAGTATTTATGCTCTACTCATCATGGCAGCTACTTAATTGGTCGCTTTCTGAACGTCTGCTTGCGCGATTGTTTTAATTCGGTACACGCCCCTGTATACTTAATGTTGTCCTGCCCACAGAGTCAACACATGCCATTACCCGAATGCTTGGCGATGGTCATTGTCATCAATCCGAGCACTCTACTGGGGTCACGACAATCTACTATGTGACTGTATTACATGACTGGCGGTGTGAAGTCATGATCACACGTGAAGTCATGGTGTCAACAACTCAAATAAATCTAGAAGGATTTCAATTTAAAATTACTCGACACAGTGAGTCACGTGATCACGTGGACACACGACGTGCCATTAGTTGACCGCATATCTGGAAACCATGACGCCACGTGACCACATGACACGCGGTTAATCCTAGTGCAAAAAAGTGCCACAAAACCCCATAATTTCTCATACACTGCAATTCAGTATACGACAATTTGATCAATACATAGAAATAGAGCTGCCAATATTTTATTCTCAAAATACTCATTTCGGGATATTGACAAAAAGAAAGTTTTTTTTTTTGTTTTTTTTACCGTGAATCGTTATGAACTTGTTCCCGTTATATATATATATATATATATATATATATATATATATATATATAGTTCAGTTCCGGTTTATTTCCAAGATAGCGGCGAAGATTTTGGTTCGGCTCAGTTCCGGTTCGGCTGAAAATAACGGTTCCGTTCCGGTTTTCGGTTCGGTTTAGTTCCGGTTCGACACCCTGCTTGAAACGTCGGAGAAACGTCACCTGCGTGAAGTGACCTCAAAGACACGAGTTCGGGAACATAATAATTTTGTAAGTGGCGTCGGGACCGAAGGAAATGGTGGTGGATCTTCAGGCAGTATTTTCTGAACTGGCCTGTCGTATCCTGCGGGTTCCGGCTGAATATGGGAGCCACAGGCTCGTCTTGAAGGTCTTTCAAAAGCGGTAGCATGTTTAAGTTCCATTGCCTTAAAAAAATTGTGGTCGTCACACAAACTAATGCCATTCGTGAGGTACATGTGACGTTTCCCTCACCTTATAGCACGCATATACGAAGGGACGCGAGACGAGGTACTCACCTGGTGTGCCGGAGTCTACTCAATGCCTCGCAAGAAGGACTAGCGAACTAAAAAGGATATAGCTTAAGAGAAGCGGCGACAAACTCAGTATGACCATGCTCGACGTGCCAAGAAGACGCCAGAAGGTGGACTTCATTAAGACACGCAACACCATATCGTATTTTGTAGTCTGCATGCACAAAGCACCGCAGAAACACAAAGATTATGATGCCTCTTTTTAAATTGGGTTACCGTGTGCACCACCCTGCAGGACCACCAGGTTCCCAAGGTCAACCCCTATGGCGAAAACTGATCACGTTTGAAACGTCAACGGAATTACAATACTGGAAAAAAAAGTTCTTGATTTTGCGAGAACCTGAAGCATCTGATTTCTAGGAAGCCACTGAAGTGATTTACAAGATCGACGATGACATCAAACAGTACAATATCAGAACTAGTTTTTATTCTTTTTTGCCACCTCACGGTATCCAAATCTACTGAACAAGCCACTTACTGCACTCGCCAAATTGGCATCGGTGCTTTACGATGGAGGGAGGACACGGATTATAACCATTTCCGTATTTTCCAACGCACAAGTCGAGGTTTTTTCTTTCAAAGATTTTGGTGGTGTGTTTTTTAGAGCAATCCGACCGATATTGTTATTTTATTGAGTATATATCGTAACTGCTCAAACTTTCCATGGAGGTTACATGTCTCGTTAGATAGTAGATATGCTAGAGAAACTATTAAAACTGGCTCCCACTCAAGCTTATACAACGGTCCCAATAGACGTACGCGTGTGTTTCAATTCATTTTCGGCGCGCCAGAGTATAAATACGTGAAGGACGTTTCCTAGAAAAGATGGTCATGTTTTTCGGCCCAGATGAGCAAGCTATGCATCCCAGACAAGCTCAGATTTGGGGAGAGTGACACGTTACCGGTTGGGATAAAACGTGAAAGTTTGAGAACATGACCCTGCCTGCATCAAAATATAATTGAGGAAAACAAAATGTCCTTATGAGCCGATGTCCACCTACGCTTAATATCGTCAAAACAAGAAACAGCATTGTGGGCGCCTGTAGAACTTATTTCAATGAACACAAATTGTCAGCAAGGAAGAAAACAATATTCTCTTTCTTGATGACAAATGTCCTTCACCAATATAATTCACAGGAGCGTTTACAATGGTTTCATTGTCTTGAGAATGTTAGGCATAGGTGTATATCTGCTCCTAAATAAATTTTATTTTTCTCAATTACCTTTTGATACCGGTAACGCCATGTTCTGAGACTTTCACGTTCTATCCCAACCGCTACCGTCACATTCTCACGGATTTTGAGCTTTCTGCAATGCATAGTTTATTTACCCGGACCAAAAGACACGGTTCCATTTCTCGGGAACGCCCTGCAAATAAGCGCGACTTAAACAAATGCGAGACTTATATGCCAATTGTCTTCAGTGAACAGGCAATTGTTTTTATTTGTTTATTTAAGGAGTTGCCGGGCGCCTGTAGAAAGGTCGAGGCGACATTCGAGTTGTAGTAGTAAGGCAGAAACGAAACATATGGGTTCAACAGCTTCATAGGTGCACAAAGACATAAGTTATAGTACAGCCAAAAAAACGAGACATTATAAATTGAGCAGCTTGATAAGTCATTAGCAGGGTGAGGTAACGCACGTATAACATGAGCATAAAATTAAATAGAGAAGCAATCTAATACATAAGAACATCGTTGCAGAGCGAGATGAGGACAAGTTTCTGTCATAGTGGTAGTTGAGCTAGCGGGTGCGTGCGATAGGGGATGACTTGTCACAATCTAAATGTTGCACAAATCATTTGATAGGAGTGACTGAACACTTGAGTGAGGGAACGGTGTGGCTTGGGGGGGGGGGGGGTATACCGGAAACAATGTTACATTGCTTTCATGGGTCAACAAAGCATAACTTCGATTGCTGCGTTGATGTTTTCAAAGCGTAATCCATGCCAGAAACAAAATCACGTTTTTGTTATAAATGCGGGCTTCGTTTCTGAAAGCTTTTAGTTACGAGAGACACCCATCGATGCTGAACAGCTCTGGGTAAGGTCAGTATTGTTTTTTCAAACGGTAGGAGTTGACATACGAGAAGACTCCAGTCAGCTTTCTCAGAACATGAGAAGTATTGACTGAATATTGAAAGTAAGATAAAAGTCAAAACACCGCAACCATTTATGGGTACCATTACTTATTACGCCTAGATGTTATTAATCAACACTTGTGATTTCTGTCACTTCTGGTTTGATTGGAATATGTTCAAACAACGGCAAACTGAACAAACACGAAACAAAACAGAATTATCAATTTGATATTTGTGGATGTGAATCAACCATTATAAAATTTTAGAGAGAAAAATTTTGGAGCCTCGCAAAGGGGATCCTTAGGGACATTTTTGTAAACAGGAAAAAGGAGAATAAATTGTGCCACGTAGGCAAGCGCAAAAGAAGAACGTTAGACCTTATGACACAGAGGAGCTGGCGCTTTCGTTAACTCTTAAACTGCTTTATTTAGAAACGAAGGCGTGAATGCTTGGGAAAGCATCCACGCCTGGACACTGCGGTGGAAAAGCGAGGGCTAAATCTTTACGACGGGGTTTTAAAACGGAGAAAAAATATTGCCCACGAGGTTATTTGCGCGCGAAAACTGTTCAGCAGCAACATTCCTGAAGCATAATATTTAGGAACATTAAGAGCACAAAGTTTGGCGTGCTGAAATCGGCGAGGAGGCAAGTTTAGTTACCCATAACACGTTTTATTCCGAAGATACCCAATTCTCCGTGAAGTAAGCAAGTAAGACCCCGTTTCTTCCCAAACAAAATTAACACAAGGGAGCAGGCAGCGAGTGAAAATAACAAACAAAACATGAATCTTTCCGTTCACATTCCCGAGAGAAAAAGGCTGGCTCATGGCACCTCATCCCCTCGGTGTCGCTAAATCAGGAAAGGGGAACCCCGAGGGCTTAAAATAACGCCAGACCCCCAAAACTCTACGATGGAACCTCTTCGCGAGCGGTGCCGCCTCCTCGCCGCTCGCCCCGTGCAGCAGCTCTCCTGGACCAAGTAAAAACAAACAGGTATACAAGTATGCTCTAATAGTACCAAAACCGCAAGCAGACATTCGCCCGTCTGCCCGCCTGCCTTGACTCTGCGCCAGAAAACCCTCCGCGGCCTCTGGGTACATACTTTGCTCGGTTCCAGTCAAAAGGGACTAGCCTAAGCACAGGTTACCAGAAACGTTAGGGATCGACTTGGGCTTGCAAGTTTCGTCGTGGATGATTTAGTGTCACCCACTGTTGTGAACTAGATGTGAGTTCGTCGGTCTGGCATGAATCGGTAGGTGCGAAAAGCGGGAGTGTGGTGATGTTTGCCGCTCCGAGGTGCACGTGGGCGCGGGCCTTCTGTTTCGCCCTGGTCCTGATGTGGAAATCCCAGAGCGTCTGCGGCGAGACGACCAATCAGACGCAGACTTCAGATCTCGAGCTCAGGGACCCCGATGCGGGAGACCTCAAGGATGATGTCATTCGCGTCGGTGAGTCACTTTGTTTAGGTTAATTAATATACTATGAAGGATTGCTCTGAACATTTTTGCCCATGGTTCTGCATTCAGCTGATAGGCTCACCAGTTTGGTTTTCTAAAACTATCTTATTCAATTTACTAAAGGTTTTTACACTATATACTAGAAACAAATATTGTAATGTAAAAATCTATGAGACGTATAAATTTTTCAAGAGAAATCCTAGTATATCTGCGATGGTTAAAACTGTTTTAGGGGCGTTATTTCACAGTATGCGAACATCAGCGAGAACGGCCTAGTTTGTCATTTTAGGGTTTCGAATTTCAGGATATCCAAGGAGTAACATAGTTGAGTTGCATCCGATTGAACTAGGTAATACTTTGTTCGTTCAAATAGTACACCATTTTTCTCAGCACGGCACCCATGATACTTTAGGGGCTATTCAGCTTGAGAAAAGTCCATACTCAGTTATGTTTTTCTCTATGCCTTTGGTTCGATCTTTATCCTTCTTAGCAGTATTATAAAAAAGCTTGTGTGATCAGGTCCTTACAAAGCAATCACGTAGTCGATCGCCGCAAACAACGAAATATCCCAGATAACGAGAAAGCTCAGATCATGATTGAAAATGAAACATGCGTCGTGTGCAGAAACAATAAGCATTACAGGTCACTTGTTCATTGTCTCATGAGACGACTGTATTTGACAGATATCAGCCTATTCTTGGAATTTTTTATTTCCCGAGATCCTTCGGTTGTTTAGAGCGATTGACTCGCTGAGTGTTTTGCAGTGAAATGAAGGCATTGAATGTCTTACCGTACGTGCGAAACGAACGAAAAAGTTTTTTGTTGTGACTTCTGTTTCACATTCCGATATGAGAATCATTCAGAAAACTAACGCAAAGTTTAAAAATATAACGGAGTTCTCTTTTTTTTCTTGTTCAATGATAGGCTTAACGAATGTTAATTTGTTAAACCTGAAAATTAAGATATAACTACAGTGACTCGTTAGTACGTCCCGCTCGATCGCAAATGTGGTTTTAACTCCGCACATATTCGACGTACGTGAACGGTGTAGAAGACATCCTTGTTGCATTCTGAGTAACGGAGGAAGTTGCACCCAGTGCATCTGCTGGGTGATAAGCTTGAGCTATAAATACGAATCTATTTTTTACTCAACCGTGCTAAAAGGGGTTAACCCGGGTCCCGGAAAGAAAATTCGCTTGTATTTTCTAAAACGGTCTCTATATTAAAATTATCGTCTCCTTGAAAATGATTTGGTGATTAACTTGGTTGGAACAGAAAGGACATCTAAAAATAAGGGTTCCCTCTGTTCCCTATGTACGAATAAGCGCCGAACATTAAACGCCGAGAGGGTTTTATTAAAATTGGGAAAGAGAAAAATTTCACACTGGAAGCGTTAATGAAATAAAAAAAAACTTACGCAAAATATATTCCATCCATACCTTTTTTTTTTCATTGTTTTTATTAACGCGGTGCGCAGTTTACATTAAGCGATCGGCGAGGCTGCTGCATCTTTTTTTTTTTTAAATTACATAACTTGTTTTGTATATTAAACTTATCCCGGGACAGTTTCGAAGTGTTCAGGCCACACACATATTCTCTCTAGGTTGAGGATTCCGTACCTATCCCCTTTTTTTAACATCACTCCCGACAAACGCCAATTTTCCTTGTCCGGCACCAATAAATTTATACAAAAAACACAGAATTTGTGATGAGAAATAAACCTCAAAACAACCGTCGGATTAGAAGAGATCGAAACCCCGAAAATACGGAGCCATATTTTTCGTCTCTTTTATGGGCTACCTGCGACCGGGAGCAAACGGTGCGTACACGTAAAATACACGTCAAAACTGAAGATGCTGTTTATTATTTAACTTACAAAATACGTTATATAATTATTATGCTTGTTTATTTTATTCAAAGGTTTTTCTGAGAGAAAATTGCCGGACACAAGGACACAGTCTATTATGTATATATATATATATATATATATATATATATATATATATACATATATATATATATATCTTAATTGCTGTTCGATGCTTCTATATGTTCTATATAAAGCTTAATTGTTGTGTGGTGCTGCTCCAGAAGGCATTTGAGCTGTAGGTAAGCACTGGAGAAATTATATAGTGAATTATTGTCCTTGGGTTTGCGAAAACCGGAGGCGTTAAGAAGATGTTTATACGAGTGTCTACCAATTTCCGAGGAGGAAAATATTAGTTTTAGAAAACCTCCCTCATTATTTCAGGTCGATTGGCTTCCCGCCTATTTTTTTTAGTTTACAACTTTTGAGATATGAGGAACAAACAAAATTTGACTTGAAATTTGGAAACGTCGTTATAATGTAACAAAACCCATGTTTTTTTTTTGTCAATGCAACTGCAAAAGACTAATGAATTTAAAATTGAATAATGAAATAATCAAAATAAAACAAAACATGGTTCAAATTACACGGTGACGTTTCCGTACCATGGTCACTAAAATGGCACCATAAGTTAGCCCCATTTCTTAAAGCAATGCGTAAAATAATTCTTTGAGCAGGGTTGATACATTTGTCGATATAAGAACCCCATAATAAACAAAATTACAGATTTTCTGCTAAATTATATTTTTCTGGTGTGAAAAATAAAAAAACAAAGAAGCAAAAATAATATAAAAAATCCGGGGCACCACTTCATAGGATCGAGAAAGACTCGTCATGATGTAATACAGCCTACAGACGTGTAAAATATGTTTATTTTTGTGTTCCCATGGTTTTAAGATATCAGCTGCTCTTAAAATGATATTTACAGATGCATACAGACACATTTTTTCAGTGTCTGACACTCGGGAAAAATACCCAGAATGTGCTTTTGAAGCCTCTTAGTGCTTGTTGTGCGGATTATGTAACTGCTTTCAAACAGTATATACGAAAGCGATACTGATTAGAAAATAAATACTCATAAGATGGTTAAAGTAGTTCATCTTGGGATACTTCCCATTTAACATTATGCTACTAAATACGACATGATTGAATCTCTAATAATTGTTTTGTTTTGCAATTTTCTTCTTCAAAGCCAGCTTTGCGTGCCCTTCATGTTGAACTCAATATCTTCATGCCCATTATTTAAAGTCGCGAAACTTATTGGTTTCGTGTTTATTGAAGTTTCATTGTTTTATTTTATATTCATACATATAGAAAAAAGGGAATACAGAATAAGCTGTGGGTCTTCTCTACATGGGAAGTCGCAACCCTGCTTGGGCAAGGGAAACAAAAACAAAACAAAGGTGCTTATTTAAAATATGATAATATTCGTATTACTTCTATACGCCCCAAGACACCCTTCTTGGTGCACACGAGTAAACAAAAGAAAAAAAGAAAAAAACAGGGACTATCAAAAGGGCAGCGTAACATGAGAATCAATGTTAAATACGATTCACTTTATGTAATCTACGTAGTTGTCACTAGATGTACCCGTGACCTACAACACCACAAAAAGATAGTGGCACATATGTAAGCTAAACAAGGCGATAGTTTTTACACATTTTCAACCCTCGATGTGCTGGCGCTTTGTCAGGAGTAAGGGGAATTACAATATATTTCTGTTATGAACTGGCTAGGTATTCAGAAAAAATCTGCCAATCCTTTTTGACAAGAAATGTCAAAGAATGTTTTTAAGGTCCTTGGACTAACCAATGTTTTGAATCTGGAATGTGGAGAAGTACACAATTGTTTAGGTTTAGCGCGAAAGCCGTGTTGGATTTTGCCTATCCCCTGTTAAAGGTACAATTCTAGCAACATAGTTTAACTGCTCGGAGGAAATGTTCTGTATCAAATCAAATAAAGCGCTCTTGGTGTCCGGGTTAGTAGTTTCTCTTGACACTCAAGGTGCACAGGCGCCCGTTACTTCGACTGAAGCATCTCAGAAACATCTCAAGAAAAGAAAGGTTTAAGGTAAGGAGGTTTAAATAGCAGCCAATTAACCCACGTTATGATGAATTCTGATGTATCCACTATTGAGGGACAAAATTGTCGGTGCAGTACTTCTGCTAACCTGTGACTCTACTCGTACACCACGCAGTAGTAGGTATATGGGTAAACGCCGGGTTGTTCTCCCTTCATGCTAAAACGAGAAATGTCGATTATAGAACCCATTATTTCTGAATTCTGCCGCGTGAACATTTGCACAACTTGCTGCGGGTCTCCATTATTCGATAAGATGTAACAGATTAATGAAATACGTAGGAATCTTAAACGGAGAACTGTCGTCAACAGAAAGCCATCGATTGTTTCCAATCATCAGGTTATACATTAAGTATGAAGATTCCAACCCGTTTTCTTCCGACCAGGTACACTTCATTAGCGCGATATGGTTGGAGCATGACGTGCATAGAGGACAGTATCAGCCCCGAGAGGATGCAGTGGCGCCACGTGGCAGCTTTTGTCTTCAAGTAGAAGAAACATTCATGTGACGGCTTTTGCGCTTCATTGGTAACATGTAGGCGGAGGTGTATTTATCACAATCCACGCTTTATTCGCTAATCTGAGCGACAATTTAGGGTTGCTTTTGACCTAATTTTCTCGTTTTACTTCTCGTCAAAATTAAACTCAGAGCGAGATAACAGTGGCGTGGTGGCCTACAGAACATGACCCAGTGACCCATCAGACCCAGTTTCGTGTTATCGTACTAACCACGACCAAATCGATCGTCGTCGTCACTTCGGGGGCTTGTCAAATGATCATACAGGTAGATTCGCGGACGGCATAATTCCCGAGCGAGTTTTCTTCGTTTATTTTTTTTTTCTTCTTCCAGCAGTCGGAAACAGACACCGCAAATATAAACCACTCGTGAGAAAGGCCGAGCAGGCGTCAAACTTTACATTCCGACCGACTTTTTTTTTTTTTTAGCAGACTGTTCGCGCTGTTTTAGAGACACACACGAAAAATAAAGCACGCACCACATGATGCAAGCGCCAGCCGTAGCGTGTTTATTTGAGCTTTATGTCAA